AAAAATACGCCACGAATATCACAGCTACAGACTAATATCCTAGGCTAATGTCGTTAATATATATATATCCTTAACATATAAAGAACCCATAAAATCATTAAGGAAAATACTAACACCAAAACTGAAAAATAGCAATGGATATGAGTAGATAATTAATAGATGAAGAAATGCAAATGGCCAGTAAGACAATTGGGGAAAAAAAATAAGTGTTTCTAGTAATTCAAAAGAACAGAAAATGAATCTTTTAAAGTCAGACACCATTTTTCATTAATCAAAATAGCAAAGATTTTAAGACACTTGTACTGTAGAACTTGATACTGACAAGGGTGTGCTAAAAATAAGCCCTCGCTCTTCTGCAAGAAGATGAAGCCATACAACATTTGAGACAAGAAGTCTGGCCTTACGTTTCGATAGTCTTAGCAGGGTTCAGATCCCTGACTTACAGGAGTATAGGAACACATCTGAAACGATTACCGGAACGGCGGCTAAAAAGTTCTGTATAGGCCTGTCCACTTCGACATCTTGACAGCAAACATGGGGGAAAACAGCCCAATAGCAGCAGCGTTCTGCAAACTCGGAATATTTTGCAGCCATCAAAAACCGTGTAATTTAAGACGTTTATGATCACCCCTGAATCCCCCCCCCGATTTACAGAAACCTCAGCAGTGATGGGAGATCTCAACTCGAGGTTTCCTTAGACCTGGGGTACTTTGTAGCCCATGGGTAAGCACCTGCCCCCAGGGTCAGGCATGATTCCTTTCCCCAAACGCTGAGTTTCCCCACTTGTCTCCAGTGGACACCACGTGTGGGTCTGGGTCCCAGCACAGAACTAGGACCTCCTAGCCCCCAGACGGGAGGAAGCCCCCATCCTTGCCTGAAATGGCTGTGCTGAACATTAGGACTCCTTGGGGTAGCCCTGGAAACCTGGTGGGTCCTCAGCGAAGGAAGATCAGTTATTGTAACGCGAGGAGGAGCAGCTCGGGGAAAGCAATCACGAGTAACCCACGCTCTGCACCGCCCGCGAGCACCGTCAGGAGCCCTCAGTTTGGCTTCTTTTCTCTCTCACTGAGCAAAATCTTCAGCCACTTTCACAGTGTGCCAGGAACAAAGACAGATCCAGCCCCTGCCCCTGCCCCTGCCCCTGCCCCTGGGGTGTGTGAGTGTGAGTGTGTGAGTGTGAATGCGTGTGCAAGTGTGTGCGCGCGAGTGTGTACGTGTGCGTGAGTGTGCGAGTGTAACTGTGCGAGTGTGTGAATGTGTGAGTGCGTGTGCGTGTGAATGTGTGTGCGTGTGAGTGTGTGTACGTGTGTGTGTGCGAGTGCGTGAGTGTGTGCGGAGGGAAGGCAGACACGTGGTACAAACAATGGGATGGGCGAGCGTTCCGCAGCGGGCTTGGAAGGGGCC